GGAGTCGCGGCAGTAGAGGCGGTGCAACTATAACGACATGTGAATAATTCCGCCCATTCTAAAGTGTTACTAAACTGCAGTGGAAACGCAACCCAAGCCGAACCGAGCCATGCCGTACCGTACTGAGCCGTACCGAGCCGAGTCGTACCACGCAGTGGAAAAGCGCCATTTCACTGTCAATAAGCGTGACCAGGGTTGCCAGGTGTTCACAACAAAACCCGCCTAATTGCTATTCAAAACTAGCCCAAAACTACAAAACGCGGCAAGTATTAAAGTAGCCCAATTCTGCGGACTTGGCAACACTGAGCGTGACTGATACTCGACCAGAACCACAGGCAGTAGGTGCTCAATTCTCATTCCTCAAAAGAGCACCAAGCATACGAGGCATTTCTCAACACGATCGAATCACGCAGCATGCATTTAGCTCCCCCGAGAGCCAAACACGTTCTGTTCAAATACTAGATTTCCTCAAGAATCAGGCGAGAACAGAAACTGCCGCGAACGCATTGCATTGAGTTTGATCGACTCCCTCAAGAGGTGAGCTCGCTCAGGCAAATGCTGTCTACAATCTTGAGTAAAAGGCAAAGCTTTACCTTTGATCTCAGAAGCCCTGTGAATGCATCACCATGAGCGCATCCCGCTGTCTCAAGAGTCAAACACATATTCACACTTATCCACGCCCTTCTCAAACCTCTCTGCAGAGTGAGCCACGAGATACAGACGCTTGTCCCTTATCCCTTGAGAAGAGGGACAAACGCGAATGGAGCTTTCTCATTGGAAACTTGTCACAATGAGCGCATTCAGAGCCCTCGAGCGCCGAACGTGTGTGCTCCTCACCAAGACGCATAGATCGCATGTGTCCTCGGGTGTCAGAAACCACTGGCCTGATCGTTAAGATAGTTTTGGGGGGCTAAGCTGACAGATAGGGGGGCTGAAACCCACCTAAAAAGGGTTTAGAACCGCCCCTGGTATAGCGTGCGTAATTATACTGAAACATAAATATATAACCATGTTAAACTCTGCTGATCACGGATTGGCCGGAGAAAATCGTCACTACCTGCGTCACTGAACTTGCGACATGAGACACAAACAGACCCGCTAGATTTAAATCAGCACAGCCAGGGAAGGATCGAACGCAACTGTTTTGAACGAGCGCACCTTTTTTAACAACCAAAAAGTGGCTGTTCCCCCTGTTGCGGAAGAACAGACGTTCCTCTCGTTGATAGCAGAGGAGCGGATCCAGAGAGAGCTTGATGGGGCGACGCGGAATGAAAACGTTTTTTAGGAGTCGCGGCAGTAGAGGCGGTGCAACTATAACGACATGTGAATAATTCCGCCCATTCTAAAGTGTTACTAAACTGCAGTGGAAACGCAAACCAAGCCGAACCGAGCCATGCCGTACCGTACTGAGCCGTACCGAGCCGAGTCGTACCACGCAGTGGAAAAGCGCCATTTCACTGTCAATAAGCGTGACCAGGGTTGCCAGGTGTTCACAACAAAACCCGCCTAATTGCTATTCAAAACTAGCCCAAAACGCGGCAAGTATTAAAGTAGCCCAATTCTGCGGACTTGGCAACACTGAGCGTGACTGATACTCGAGCCAACTCTGCTCTAACTGTCGACTAGCAGTGGGAGTCAGATTGCCCCCTAGTGGATGGCTAAAGATTTGTTAAATCATATTCATAAATTCTCAAGGGAACGTCTCTGAATTAACTGATGCTGGCGCCCCCCTTGACAGGTGCTGGCCCACAGGTTGAAAACCCCTGTATTAGAGGACGTAGTTCCCTAGAAGGGGAACTAAAACTAACACTGAAATAAATATAAATGAAAGTTAAAGAGAAATATGAAAAAAAAACTAATAATATAAGCACATAACAAAATTACTGAAACGTAAGCTAAAATGAAAATTGTAAACATAAAAATAAATGTTATTTCAAAATATTAATAAATAAAATTGTATATAAATAATCCTAAAATAACTATAGTTTTAAAATAACTAAAGTATTGTAACAGAAAAATTACACCCTTCATGTTATCAAGTACTTTATTTATTAATTGTATTATTAGTTTTATTGATCATTGTATAAAGTGTACACAATGGTTATCTGCTTTTTTAACGTAGCCAACTCTGCTCTAACTGTCGACTAGCAGTGGGAGTCAGATTGCCCCCTAGTGGATGGCTAAAGATTTGTTAAATCATATTCATAAATTCTCAAGGGAACGTCTCTGAATTAACTGATGCTGGCGCCCCCCTTGACAGGTGCTGGCCCACAGGTTGAAAACCCCTGTATTAGAGGACGTAGTTCCCTAGAAGGGGAACTAAAACTAACACTGAAATAAATATAAATGAAAGTTAAAGAGAAATATGAAAAAAAACTTATAATATAAGCACATAACAAAATTACTGAAACGTAAACTAAAATGAAAATTGTAAACATAAAAATAAATGTTATTTCAAAATATATTAATAAATAAAATTGTATATAAATAATCCTAAAATAACTATAGCTTTAAAATAACTAAAGTATTGTAACAGAAAAATTACACCCTTCATGTTATCAAGTACTTTATTTATTAATTGTATTATTAGTTTTATTGATCATTGTATAAAGTGTACACAATGGTTATCTGCTTTTTTAATGTAACAGTGAACGAGTGTTTCTTTATAATGTGTATCTTTTAATGTCTGTGTGCAGTATTTTTGTGTGTGTTCTCTTATGGCATAAACTTCTTCCTGCTGTGTCTGTAGGGAGCTCTGTGGCTTTGGCCCAAGTGCAGCTGCCTCATGTGCTGTTTATAGAGCTGAAGAAAATAGAGAATCTCAGTTCACACACACGGTATAGGGCCTTAATTGTGTTGAATCATGTGATATATTCAAAGTGTAGACTTTTTGTAAAAGCATAAATTGCTGTGTCTGTTTGCTCTCTAAACAACAGCAGTTGTGTGTGTATACTTGACACGAAATGTTTTTGCAACCTTTTTCTCTCTGCTTATTTCATGTATGACAAAAAGTTGCATTTGCTTATCAAATGAGTATAGTCCAAAGTAAGTGAAACAGACATATGCAATAATACGACTGACCATGCAGCCTGTCTCTCAGATGCTTTGTATTTTATGGCTGATGTCTATAGCTGTTTCATAGAGATAACATTATGTGCATTATGCACAGGTATAGTGTTTAAAAAAAGTTTAGTCACACTCTCTCAGCAAAAGAGGACAATTGCATGAAATAATCTACATAAACCTGATAAACTTGACTTTAAAGGGAAGAGTCATTGTAAATAGTTGTTGAATTATTGACAGTTAAATAATACACTACCATTCAAAAGTTGGGGTTGATAAGAATGTTTCTAAAAGTATAAATGCAAGGATGCATTTATTTGATCACAGTAATAAAAGTAAAATTGTGAAATAATATTGTAATTTAAAATAACTGGATTGTATTGTAATATATTTTAAAATGTAATTTATTCCTGTGATCAAAGCTGAATTTTCAGTATCATTACTCCAGTCTTCAGTGTCACATGATCCTTCAGAAATCATGCTAATATACTGATTTGGTGCTCAAGAAATAGTTTACTATTAAATGATGTGCTGCTTAATATTTCTTTATGAAAACCGTAATGCATTTTTTTCTGGATTTTTTGGATAAAGCTCAAAAGAACAGCATTTATTTAAAATATGTTTTGTATAGTCAATTTGTCTTTTTTTTAATTACATTTTTCAATTTAATTCATCCTTGATGAATTAAATTATGAATTAATTTCATGTTTCATATATATATATATATATATAAATTTTTTTCCATTATTGTCATTTTAATTTTGACCATGGTGTTTTATGACAAATCTGTAGTATGTTGAAATATCCCATAACATCTCCAGAGCAGATTACTTGTCTTTTTGTGTCATTGCTAAGTCAAACATCACTGTTATTATTGCTAATACTTAGGCATAGGGATTGTTTGTTCAACTTTGGCATATAACTCCCTCCGCACATTTGTGCAGTGGACAAATGATGTCTAAATGCTTCCTAAAATCATGCCGCTTATTGAGAATAGGTGTGCTAATGCTTTTTTGCTTGCCAGAGACACTGACGGAAACCAAGCCATATATAGTGACCAGAATATTATACAGGCCTATTTTGACTTAGCAAACAGAAATCCCTATCCGTTTTAATAATTGAATGTTCGCCAAGGTTTACACTTTTTGTTACCAGTAAATGTTTGGGACTTTTTTAATTTAATTGTTTGTAATTATGGGGATTTTTTTTTAAACATATATTCACAAATAGCAGATAGCTTGAGCAAAAATGTATTTTCATTATCCATGACCTTTCCAGGTCTAGAAATTACACTCGTATATCCAGTTTTTCCAAGATTGTGAGAACCCTGGTTCCTAAATAAAAATGACAGTTGTTGAGAGAACAAATGAAAATAAGATGCGTGTTAGCTGTATAGCTTGTTTAAAATTACGTTTTGTCTTATTTTAAACCATTTTAAGTCATTAGAGGCTCCCTTGGGTGTTTTCTAAGGCCTCTTGTGGGTCCCTTCCCTCTGATTGAAAACAGCTGCCCTGGCTTGGTGGCAGTAGGTTTTACGCGGGAAAGCACCGTGGATTCGTAGTGTGGCCAGAAGCAATGGTTTAAAGTTAAAATGCCTTTATTAAGGATTTGTTTCTTACAAACATGCAGCTTTTCACTTCACAAGATGTTATTTGATGGACTGGAGTCGTGTGGATTACTTGTGGATTATTGTGATGTTTTTATCAGCTATTTAAACTCTCATTCTGACGGCACCCATTCACTGCAGAGGATCCAATGGTGAGCAAGTGATGTAATGCTAAATTTCTCCAAATCTGTTTCAATGAAGAAACAAATGCATCTACATCTTGGATGGCCTGAGTGTGAAAAACATTTTCATTTTTGGGTGAACTGTTCCTTTAAAACACTGAGCCTATATATACCTATATATATATATATATATATATATATATTTAACAGCTGTTTTATAGAAGACAGTTCAGATGTCACACAGAATTAGCATATTCACACAGTTTAAAAAAAACCTCTTCATCACTTCCTCTGTAGTGGCCTGTTTTTGGTGCAGTTCAGATGCTTCTTGTTAAACTTGTGCGTGCGTGTTCATTAGTAATATTTAAAGAGGAAAGAAAGTAGATTGCTGTCATTAACAGTGTGCTGAAGAGAAACCGGTTTCATAAAATTTTAATAACTAAATCTAAATGAGAAAGTGGCAGAGGTCCAAAACATACAGGCCGAGGAGGACAAAGTCATTCTTCAGCTGCAGCTCATTGGAGCATTAGGCAGAAACCGCACACACACATACACACGGCAGTAGCAGCCCGGAGAAGCACGAGAAGGCTTCTCCTTAAATGGTCAAAGCTCCCAGGAGTCACAGGGAAGCTGGTGCAGGGGAAAAAGTCAGGGAGAGGAAAAGAGAAAGGACGCTGAAGATTGTGGAGCTTTGAGGAAAAATATCAACAGCACAAATACAAAGAGGGTTTGAAGGAAATAGTGGACTGTTGAGAGAGCATCTTTCATCCTTGTTGGCCAATCAGGTAGAGTTTCAGCCAGTTTTTTCTTTGCATGGATTGATTTATTCTCTTGAGACAAGAGCTTGCGGCGGACACTTCCAGAAAGACGTACTTTAAAATACACAAACCTGGTTTCCAAAGAGATGTGACATTGTTTTGTGTATGAAAATGAAATCAGATGGCCTGAAATGCTCTTTTTTTATGTACAAAAATGCATGTTACACACATTCTGCTCAGGAGCAGCGTTCAGGTGACATGACATGAACAGTGGTGTTCAAAAGTCTGAGACCACATTTATAATCTGGGATTCAATCATCATCTAATTTAATCCTGGAAATAAAGTTTTAGTTCCTGCACTATTTCTAGATCGCTAATCGAATAAGCCTAATTGTGACATTGATCATGTGACAGACGGTCAGATGTTCTAGTTTCCATTGAAGCTCAAGATGCTCTTTGGATGATGCTCAAATCACGCAGGACAGCATGATCATCAGATTTTACACAAGCATGTGGCATTCATGTCAGCTTGCATGCTGCTGTTGTTAGTAAAGCAGCAATTAATCTAAATACTAGACTATAAAAGGTCATTTGAAATTGACCGCTATTTATACCTAGTCTGATCTAACTTTAATTTTTGTTGACATAACCCAGTGCATTTAGTACAAATATTATGTAATTTAAATGATATCACACTTAACATTTTCTTCAGTGTAAGACTGATAATATGTGTAATATGATTTTCAATATCATAATAATGATTAAAAATAATAATGATTTCAACACATTTTAACAATACCATGAATAATATCGATAACCGTGATGATTTTAGTCACTTTGAAAATTTCATATCGTTTCATCTCTAATGCTGCGTTCAAGTCCTCCTGGGACGTTCGTACTTACGAGTTGACAAGTCGTAATTAGGACGTCAGGTGAGTTCAAGTCAGTTTAGTCGGCACAAGATGGCAGTGTACCTTCTTTTAATAAATTACAAGAAAACACAACAGGGTCTGTTAACTCTGCTTATAGAAAATGAAGAGCAAAGAATTCGCATCAGGTGTGTTTTGTGTTTTTAATATTTTTTTTTAGACCAGGATCCCAGTATAACTGATTTTCAGCATCAACAAATGCTAAAATACAGAGATTAAAAAAAGCTGTTAGCTAAATGCAACATGGCAAATCAAAAGATTTTTCACCTATCGGTGCAAAAATGATAGCATTTTTGGATTTCATTAACTAGCTGCGTAATAAGAACATGACCAATTTAAGTTTATAGGACAACTATACTATCAATTTAAACAAAAATTTACCGTCAACTACAGACGTTGCATCCATCGATTCCGCCATGTTTCTCATTGACATGCCCCCAATTTGGAAACTTGGGGCTTAAAGAAAATTGAGTTTCCCACTCGTAATAACGACTTTGTGGTGGCGTTCATGTGAGTTCAGCTCGTAAATACGATCTATCCGACATGACTGGAACGCACCATAATTTCCACTAGTGGTCTCTTGCTTTTGTACCTCATTGTATGTGAAACCGGTTTCTTCAACATATTTCTCAAAATATGTTGTAGTGCTGACATTCTACTTGAAAATGGTCTTTCTCAGTCCATACTTTTCTTTCGTGTACCGAAAGGATGAAGAAGAGTAGTTTCCCCAGCTCATGACAGGTTTTTGGTGATGCTCACCTGAATCGCCAGTTTCTCGAACACTCCCTCCATTTCCTGTTGTCTCTTTTACAATGACTGTATAGCAGCCACTTCCTTTTTCACACAACCACATTTTCAGCAAATCTGGCTCACTGTATCTGTGTTACATAACAAGTGAAAGGAGGGGGGCAGGACATGCACTTTCTCATGCAGCCGCGTCAGAGCTTTTGTCATGAGGTAACGCTGAGGTCATCAGGGTACCAGAGGGACCTGCCATCAAGATGACCTTCCATCTTCCTTAAATTTATAAGAGTTGAACTCTTCTCAGTGGTGACAGTCAAAGGCCAAGTAAAAATAGATCCAGTCAATGAGAATAGAAGACACATTGACCACAGAGAAAGAAGGAGTTATAGAGAGAGACAGCTCACAAGCATAGACGCGTAGCCAGCAGGAAATAATCAGGGTGATTGGATTACACTGCAATATTCATCTGCATGTCATTCTCTGCAGGGGAACGTGCTCCTTGAATGGCTACTGGACCACTGAAATCATTTAGAGTGCCCTATCTACTTATCCTTATATACATGCAATGCATACTTTTTCATATTTATCATATTCTTGTGATAGTCATTATGATATTGTTAAAGAGGTGAAAGGAAGACTGTTTTCTGTTTTAATACATTTTAAAATGTAATTTATTCCTGTGATGGCAAATCTGAAATTTTTCGCATCATTACTCCAGTTTTCAGTGTCACATGATCCTTCAGAAACATGAATTATTATCAATGATGAAAACAGCTGCTTAATACTTTTGTGAAAACCATTATTCATTCTTTGATGACTAGAAAGTTTAAAAGAACAGCATTTGTTTGAAATAGATTTTTTTGAAACAAGGTGAACGTCTTTACTGTCACTTCTGATCGATTTAACGCATCCTTGCTGAATAAACATTAATTACAGAAAGAAAAATAATTCTGAACCAGAATTTCGAATAGTAGTGTAAAAATAGCTGTGAACCAATTCCTTGTATTTGTTGCTTCTTCGTAAATTAACGTTATTTGAACTTGAATAACATCCAATAGTCCAGTAACTTATTTGTAGGTAAAGTTTAATAACAGAATTAACTGGAAAATATTACATGGTTAAAAAATTGTATTGCTCCAATATTGCATCACAAAAACATTGCCAATAATTATGTCATCATCACTAAGAGATATTATATTACACACCATAATTGATTTAAAATACATGTATTTCATACTAAGTATGCTTCAAAGACATACTTATTGACATATCACTTAAGATTACTGATATGAAATTATAATTACATTTATTTGGAGTATTTCTTTGTTGCACAATGCACATTTCTTAATATTATGCCTAAAATGTGTTTTAATATCACTATGAATAATGATTGTATGATCTCTGTATCAGTCTTTAAATGCAAGATATTTAAAGTGTACCTGAAGTATACTTGCAATAGTTCCACTTTAGCACAGATATGCTGAAGTATACTGTATCTTTAGTTGGACTTCAGCACTACTTCCTCACAATTAGTGACCAGTTTAGTATTCCAAAAGTACAATTGCAGGGTATTTTTATTAAGCATATAAATATGTAAATGTATTTGTATTAGGCTTAGCACAAAATGAATATATTTCAAATACCTTTTACCTTTATTTTTTTCACTAGGGTTAACAATTGCTTAATCCACACAGTTATTTATTCCACATCTATATAAAAAACACTGGTAACTTATGGTTCTTACATTGGAGGAGAGTGAGCAGTAATTATTGGTGAAATTCCGCTGACCACATGTCAGGAACAAGAAGCACATTTTTATTGCTCAGAGTTTGCTATTTTATAGCAGGATGGAGCTCAATTGAGTTTTTAATTTCATAATATCAAGTTTGTCTCAGATGTCTCTCCTAAAATTCTTTAAGGAAAACAAAAATAGACACAAATGAAACGATTGTTAAGAGTAAGGGTACAGAGCTATAAAATGATTATGAATCACACAGCTCGAATAATGCTTATGGAATAATTGATGGGCAATGTTTCCATTAAGATTGAAATCATATTGAAATACTTTTTGTTGCGGACTTTGTTATATTGGCAAATCTAAGCACGTTTGAAACATTATTTCAATCATGACAACTCTCGGAAGATTTAACATGGTGATGGATATGACCATGTTAATGTATTTGGTCTTGGCGGAATAGATCTGCTACGCTGCTGCTGAAGGTTATTGCTGTAGTTGTAGATTATTGCTGCTGCTGCAAGCAAGTACAGGAACTTGCTACTGCCAATGCATATGGCGATACGGTGCCGTGAGTATTTAAGACATACTGCTGCTGCACAAATAGCATATAAAATAACCCATAGCAGATCTATACAGGTGGAGCTGGGGAAGGTGGAGGGTTTCAGAGAAACTCTGAAAGCGCGCTGCAGGAATCTCTAGTGAATGCTAGCCAGCCATATAAATGCAAGGCAGTAAGCTCATTGGCTGCATATGCAGAATGAACAAATCAGCATGGGCCAAGTCGTTTAACTCTCTGAATATCATCAGTTACATTAACAACCCGTCAGCCTGCACCATCTAGAGTTTCATGACTGAACTATATATTAATATCTATTGAAACACTGCAGGAGACACTTATTTAGATTACTAGGATGTTTTTTTTCTCAGGAGAGAATTCTAAAAAGCAAGAATTTAAGAAAGAGTCAATCTCGTTGCTGTTTTGAAGTAACAGTCGAAGAAATCATCTGGGATTTCTCTTATCCTACTGTACCAATAGGGAATGGGAAAAGATGACTGAGTGCTATTGAAACCATGCCTCTAGAGAAGGCCTCAGTATGTTTAATCACAAAACATGATTCATACATTTTCATCAAAATCAAGCCAATATAAATCATTGCAGTGCTCTGAGATTTCACAAGTCCTGTGTTGAATGTGGAAGAGATTGTTTTGATATTGTGCCTTCAAACCGTTATCGCTTCCACCCAGCACTAAGGCCTATTTTAGTCAAAGTGTTAGGGAAATCCTTTTGATATCATCACTTTTAAATGTCAGTTATATTTTGAATGGTCTTTTTTGATTAGATAACATACACAGCACACAACAGAACAGAGGAAAGATTCATCTGGCATAAAGTCGTCATTGAAGATGTATATCTTGTGTATTTTTCATTAAGGTCAGCAAAAACCCAGATGCAACCCTCTTAGATCAGGATCCTGGTTCACCATCTGAGCTTTGGCTGAAACGTGCTGACAGTGTTTGCCTTGAGCCGGTGTCTGCAGGTAATATTACAAAAAGATTGCTCTTTTCTTAGCTCAGGTGTTCTCAGTTATGTTTCAAAGAAGTATCAATTTTGCCTCAGATGTTTTCTCTAAAAAAACACAATGTAGAAAAAAAAATTACTTAAATTTTTTTACGATTCTTCTGTAATTATGCTTATTATTAATGAACTACATTATTTATTTTCACATAGCATCAGTATTTTGGTCAGGTAAATTAATTATGAAACATTGGGTGAGTGCACATATGTTTTTTTGTTGTTGGTGTTGTGACGATAACAGACACTTGCATTGACAAGTGTTTGTGTGAGAGGGTTATGAGATATCAGCAACTTTAGTTTAAAAGAGAACAAAGATACATTTATCGGTCATAACTTCTAGAGAAAAGTATTACAGTGGACAAAGATGAATCTTGTTAGAGCACATGTGTCGACCGTCTGCGTTCATGCATGCTATGAAATGCAGTATACTTTGAAAGGCTACGCATTCGACTGTACGAATACGCTAGTGTATGTTTTATTTGGGCTTAACAGTATTGGTTCCTTTCAGGTCTTCCATCTGTGGGAGCGATTACCCTACAGAGTCCTGCTTTACTCTGTACTGAGAGCTCTTTGCCGGAACCGTCAGCTTGTGAGGAGCCCACGCCACACAACAGAGAGGAGAATGTAGCTGGGTCAGTGTTTACATTCCTTCCCTTCTTACAGGACAAGGCTTGTGTGTGTTTATGTAAAATCCTCACACAAAGATGATCCAGCGTGAGGTGAGACTGTGCAGGAACATTTGAACAGTTTATACTGTCACCCACCGTGGCCCCAATAAATTACTTTGACTCCCAACTGGTAGGCTACGTGTAAACCCTTTTAGCGTGGACCAAAAAAAACCCAAAGGAGACATTCTTCTTGGGAAATGCAATCGAGAAAAATGTCTTTTTCCATTATTATTTTGCTACACTCAATATTTAGAGACCAGAACTTCATAGAGACCTGGACTGAGCCCTTTTGACTTAGACATACTTGGAACTACGTAGCAACTACCCAGAACACCCTAGCAACTACATAACAACCACCTAGGGTGCCTAATCACCTATAGGGTTGCAAACATTTTTGAAAATTTCCAGTAAATTTTGGAAACATTTCAGAAATTTGGGAAACTTTCCAGGATTGTTTTGAATATTCCAGGGATTTTTGGAAAGTTTCCGGAAATGTTCCACCCCTTTGCAACCCTAATCACCTAGCAGCCACTGATCAACTATTTAGAACATCTACCAAACAACCACCTTTGTAACCACCAGATAACTGCTTAGAACACTTAAAAAAAAACTAGAACAGAACACTCTAGTTAATCATATAACAATCATCAACCACTGTGGACACCTTAAAGGGGTCCTATTATACTGTTTTACAAAGTCTTGATTTGTTTTTTGGGGTGTACTAGAAAATTTTTTCATGCTTAATTGTTACAAAAACGCATTATATTTCCATTATTATTTTGCTACACTCAATATTTAGAGACCAGAACTTCATAGAGACCTGGACTGAGCCCTTTTGACTTAGACATACTTGGAACTACGTAGCAACTACCCAGAACACCCTAGCAACTACATAACAACCACCTAGGGTGCCTAATCACCTATAGGGTTGCAAACATTTTTGAAAATTTCCAGTAAATTTTGGAAACATTTCAGAAATTTGGGAAACTTTCCAGGATTGTTTTGAATATTCCAGGGATTTTTGGAAAGTTTCCGGAAATGTTCCACCCCTTTGCAACCCTAATCACCTAGCAGCCACTGATCAACTATTTAGAACATCTACCAAACAACCACCTTTGTAACCACCAGATAACCGCTTAGAACACTTTAAAAAAAACTACATAGCAACCACTCAGAACACTCTAGTTAATCATATAACAATCACCAACCACTGTGGACACCTTAAAGGGGTCCTATTATGCTGTTTTACAAAGTCTTGATTTGTTTTTTGGGGTGTACTAGAAAATGTTTTCATGCTTAATTGTTACAAAAACGCATTATATTTCACATATTTTACATCATTGCAGCATCTCTCTTCCCAGTCTGTCTCAAACGCCCTGTTTAGTTCCTGTTTCGATGAAGCCCCTCCTTCCAAAATACAAAATATGCTCTGATTGGTTAGTTGCTCTGAACGCCCAGTGCGTTGTGATTGGCGAACCGCTCAGAGCGTGTTCTGGAAATGACATGCCCCTTACCATAGCCGTGAGTTTCATCTGCTCAGCTGTAAATATTAACAATGTCGTCAATTTTGCCATACACTCTCAGAAATAAAAGTACAAAAGCTGTCACTGGGGTGGTACCTTTTCAAAATGTACACTTTTGTACTTTATTTAACCCTAAAGGGTGCATATTGGCACCTTAAATGTGCATATTAGTACCTTTTGAAAGGATACCACAACAGTGACAACTATTGTACCTTCTGAGAGTGTACCAGTTTGAGCCCAATTCAGACCCTGAGAATGTTTATGATCAAGAGGATCATGCAAAACCTTTGCAAACACAGTTTTTACAGGATGTTTAAGAGAAGTATGTGTTTTTATTTATTTATTTATTGATAACACTTTATAATAACTTTCAATTATAAACCATTATCAAACATTATATAATGCTTAACAGATCATTAGTTAATATATATTCACATAGCTAGACATAGATAATGTTCTTGTTAATGTTTACTAATGAACTTACTAATCATTACCTAATGATTAACATATGATTATTTAAAGTTCAGCCCGGGGTCGTCAAATGTGATTGCCGCAAGCCCGCCGGACGCTCCTTCATAGAATCTGCTGGCCGCCGCTCACTCAAGCCCTCCGGCCTCCGCTCAATCTAGGTTGCCGTGTGTGACGCTGTGTGTTTCGTTGTGAAAGCGAAACTACATTGTTGTCGTTCCAAAAGAGGACACAACTAGAAATCAGTGGTTAAGTTGTATTTACAACACTGTTCCAGAACTGTTCAACCCAAATATTCAGATGTGTGCAGCACATTTTATGGAGGACTGTTTCCTGATCCTGGTAGAGTAGACTACAATGCCGGCTGTTCTGACTCACAGACTGTCAGTACGTTTTTTATATATAAAGAATTTGCCACTGACGATTCAAACGCGAGTTTTGAGCAGTGTAGAGTAGCGCTTGTTGTTTGTCATTTCTCCGATCACAAATGCAGACATGGTTTTATGTTTACGCGGCGCGATGCAACACGTAAAAAGACAGTATAATATATACATTATATATATATACATTATAATCCGTAATTATGTCCCCACTGGATGCAGCAAATGCCTCATTTATAATGGGTTTTAATATTTTTGTCTCGTCGCTCCGGCCGGGACAGGGCATCACAGTGTGGTAAGGGGCATAACATTTCCGTCACACACTTGAGGTATTCGGCCAATCAATGCACTGGAAGGCTGGCCAATCACAGCACACCTCGCTTTTCAGAACGATGAGCTTTGTAAAAATCGACGCGTTTCAGAAAGGCGGAGCATAGAGGAGAAACAATAATGTACAGTATGTGGAAAATAATGTGTTTTTTTAACCTTAAACCGCATAAACACATTTCATTACACCAAATACACAAAATAATGTTCTTTTTAGCAACATCATATGACCCCTTTAATGTAGACTAAAATACTTACAAATGTCAGTAAACTTTCAGTTCATATGATCTTCATTTGTTGGTCTTTGTTTGTTGTGTAGACTTCTGTCTTAACAAATAATCTATTAATTATTTGTTCATGTTTTTGCAGTACCCAATCTAAAGTGGAAAATATTCATAATTTGCAAATGTTTATAAATGTTTACATTAGTAATGTAATCATTAATACCTTTATGAGCAGTCGTCTCGGGCAAAAAGTGTCCCGAAAGACCTGAATTTACCCTATTTACACATCTTTTCTAATCATTTATTAATCAATTGTTCATGTTTTTGCAGTAGCCAATCTAAAGTGGAAAATATTCATTTGTAAATGTTTATAAACGATTACTAATCATTTAGTATCTTTATGGGCATTGGAATTTTAGCTACTGTAACAAGGTTTGTGTAAAGGCTGGCTGGTTAAGTTTAGCTAAATGCTTGCTAAAGACATAACAGATTGTAATTTTGGTGCAAAATTTTTTTTATTGTCTCATCACTCACATTATTACATTATTATACTACTCTTCAGTATACCATTAAACGGGATGTTCCATGAATCATAAATAAACAGGAGAAAACTAATCATTTTTTTAAAGAATATACTTGTTAATTTATCAAAACAATGCAATATAAACAAATTGAACTGTTCCCTTATAGTAATTAAATTGACCCCTGTACACTTTATTGACCCTTTAACCAACCCTTAAACCTACCCATACCACCAAACCGGTCCCTAACCTTGCCCATATCACACCTCAATAGCAGTAAAGGTGTTTTGCATTAACACAAGCTTTTAATCATTTTATAACATCCGTTAAAATCATTTGTAGATATTTAATAAGTGCTTGATCATGTGGAATTGAAAGTTTAATGACATTTGTAAGCATTTTAACTTGCATGAAATAATGATTTGTTAAAAATAATTTAATGTTTAATAAGTTTATTAGCAAACATTAACAACACATTATCTCATGTTTCTAACTCTTCGAATATATATTAACTAATGATCCATTAAGCATTATATAATGTTTGTTAATGATTTATTAATGAAAGATATTATAAAGTGTTGCCTTTTTTGTAATTTTCTTGTACATTTTAGGTACAGTGTTATACACCATTTAAAAGTAATGGCACTTACTGTATACAGGAAAAGTGTCTATTCGCCATGGCGACAACAAGCTACTAAAGCAGCTCTTCTTCTTTATTCAGCTCTTCTTCCACCCAGAACACTGTAGTTAACCACATAGACAGGGTGCGAACTACGGGGGAGCTCGGCTCCCCTTAATAAGACATGGGCTCCCCTGAAAACGTGATTTGTGAAATTTTGGGGGGTCTCAAAAAATATTGACAATGTGTTATTTTGACGTACAATTTCAGTTTTGTGTAATGTGATCAGCGTGGATTATTATGTGTAAAATTGCAAAAATATCATTCATTCATGCATGACGGCGATTTAAACCTAATTCACTTCAATAAAGATAACTATACATGCTATTCTTGTCATGAGCATCAAGGTGTGGGGGGCGCTGTGGTGCAAATTCCACTCATGTTTAGTGCATGTTAACTCAAAGATTCGTAGAAAAAATATAAACGTTGGGCTCTGGTCGATTCTGTGTTTGGGAAAGGCATGTTACTTGCAATTATGTGTTGTGGCTGGGTTGTTATAGGTCTGCGTGACTCTCGATGTCTTAGGCCTAATTGAACGGAGGAATTATGGTATTCTTCTGTAGCCTGACGACGAGTAACGTTAACCGTTGTTCATGTGAACTCAAAGACAGCCTGATGCTTTGTTTATAGGCTATTTGTGGGTGGCTGTTTGTTGTTTCACCTATCAATTCGTGTCGATAAAGTATATTAGGGTAAATCCTTAAATTGATATCCTAGTGCATACTATGCACTAGTGCATGTAGCTGTTATGTATCTTTGTAAGTAATTGTAAGCCCTCTTTTGAGGCACGCGCAAGCACACGACACCCCCTCCCATTATAAAAAAAAAAACAAGTGGGCTCCCCCAAAGTCCACGGTATAGTTCAAACACTGCACATAGAAACTACCCAGAGCACTGTAATGACCACCTAGCAAACCTCTAGGACACTCTAGTAACCACTCAGAACACGATAATAACTAACCAGCAACCACTAACACTAGCAACACCCTAATACTTATTTTGCAACCACCCAAAACATTCTAGTAACCAACTGGCAGCCACCAGGACACCCTAGTAACCACCTGCTACTCATCAAGACATTTTATTAATAGTGCTGTTAAACGATTAATCACGATTAATCGCATCCAAAATAAAAGTTGGTGTGGGGGGCGCTGTGGTGCAAATTCCACTCATGTTTAGTGCATGTTAACTCAAAGATTCGTAGAAAAAATATAAACGTTGGGCTCTGGTCGATTCTGTGTTTGGGAAAGGCATGTTATTCGCAATTATGTGTTGTGGCTGGGTTGTTATAGGTCTGCGTGACTCTCGATGTCTTAGGCCTAATTGAACGGAGGAATTATGGTATTCTTCTGTAGCCTGACGACGAGTAACGTTAACCGTTGTTCATGTGAACTCAAAGACAGCCTGATGCTTTGTTTATAGGCTATTTGTGGGTGGCTGTTTGTTGTTTCACCTATCAATTCGTGTCGATAAAGTATATTAGGGTAAATCCTTAAATTGATATCCTAGTGCATACTATGCACTAGTGCATGTAGCTGTTATGTATCTTTGTAAGTAATTGTAAGCCCTCTTTTGAGGCACGCGCAAGCACACGACACCCCCTCCCATTATAAAAAAAAAAACAAGTGGGCTCCCCCAAAGTCCACGGTATAGTTCAAACACTGCACATAGAAACTACCCAGAGCACTGTAATGACCACCTAGCAAACCTCTAGGACACTCTAGTAACCACTCAGAACACGATAATAACTAACCAGCAACCACTAACACTAGCAACACCCTAATACTTATTTTGCAACCACCCAAAACATTCTAGTAACCAACTGGCAGCCACCAGGACACCCTAGTAACCACCTGCTACTCATCAAGACATTTTATTAATAGTGCTGTTAAACGATTAATCACGATTAATCGCATCCAAAATAAAAGTTTTTGTTTACGTAATATATGTGTGTGTACTATGTATATTTATTAAGTATATATAAATACACAAACATGCACATATATATTTAAAAGAAATATGTTATGTTTATGTACTAAATATATTTATATATAATATAAATTATATGAATATAAATATATACATGTAAATGTATATTAACAACAAATATAAACAAATATTTTCAAAAGATATAATGTATATGTGCGTATTTATATATACATAATAAATATACACAGTACACACGCATATATTGCGTAAACAATTTTTTTTTTATTTTGGATGTGATTAATCGTGATTAATCGTTTGACAGCACTACTTATTAACCATCTAGCAACCATCCAGATACCATAATATGCACCTAGTTAAAGGGATTCCAGTTAATGGGATACTCCACCCAAAAATGAAAATTCCACTCCACCCTCAAGTTGTTCCAAACCTGCATGAGTTGCTTTCTTCAGTTGAACATAAAATAAGATATTTTGATATTTTTCTTTCATAAAATGTAAAAATCTGGTTGTATTTTATTAATAGTAGTATATTGTTATCTTACGTTGTTCTAGATTGTGCATAGGTTATGGACAATAAGTGAGTTGTTTTGTTCACTGTTTTCCTTTAGGTTAGATTGGCCAGCAAGCAATGACAGCTTCCTCTCAGAGTCAGAGGCTATTAGGAACACCTTAGCTGTAAACGAGGAAACGTGCAAGAGTCAAAATAAAGAAGGGACTGGATGTGCAGGAGCTGAGCTACAAAACAGCAGAGGACGAACAGAGAGTTCTGGGAGGTGCCACAAATCAGGACATAGCAGTAGGACAGAGGCTTTAAAACTTTTGAACCGAGGGCAGACTTCCAAGTCAGCGGACGTCTGGGATAATCACGGATTCAGTTTATCAGAGGAGACCCAAGTAGAGGATACTGGGAGGTGTCGAGACGGAAGAGAGGATTCAGATTGCACTGGGAGGAGTCAAGAGGAATCGGAGAGCAGTGGACAGAGTCAAGCAAGGACAGGGAACAGTGAGACTCAAGAGGAGTCCAAAACAAGTGACTCAGACGCATCAAAGAGTCCGAGTGTCCAAGCCACAGATCTCACTGAGACTCCAGCGGTGAGTTCCATTATCAAACAGTTTGTTGAATCATATAATTTCATGTGGTACCGATTCACTGTCCACAATGAGCTGTGCACCTTAGATTATTAATAATGAATCATTGTTCATTGAGAATTCCTTCATATAATTCTCTGTATGCCTCTGGAATCAATTGCCTATTTAAAAAACTCAGTAATACTCCATCCTTCTTTTTAACCTGGACTCAAGAATGTTTTTCCCATTTAAGGTATGCATCCTTCCCAGTGTTTTGGTTCTAATATAAACCCAATTGAGGGAGGGGTGTATTTTTGTATCATCTTGGACAGGGTAGGCAGTCCTGTTCTTGGAGGGCTACCTTCCTAGAGAGTTTAGCTGCAGTCAGGGGCGGACTGGTCATCTGGACGTTCTGGAGAAGTCCAGAACGGCCGTCCGTTCGACGGCCGTCGGCCTGACTGGTTCATCATCAAAGAAAAAGTATCAAATTAAGTGAAGTTGACGACCGACAAAAGAGGGCGCAAATGCAATCTATTTTTGCTTATAATAAACCGAAACTGACGAGAAGGAGAGAGGGCTCATGATGGCAAGCAAAAAACATGAAGATAAAGGTGGTTGGGAGAAGCTAAAAGGAAAAAATGCGAACAGTTACATCAGGTTACCTTTGCCCGTCTCTCTCACTGTACACAGCATGTAGCCTATAGCACTATAGTAAAATCCCAGGACAACCCTAGTACGAGCATTCACTGCTATTTATCACTCTGCATTGTCTGACATGAATATCCCATTCATTCATAAAGAGACAGCAGCGATTCTACAACGGGTTACACTTGAGAGATATTGAGTTAGAAAATAGAGTAAATGAAGTAGCCTATAAGGTGATTGTTCCGATTAACAAGACACACACACACACACAAAGACAGAGAGAGAAAGAGAGAGAGATAGCCTATGAATACTCAAGTTGAAGAATTCTGTAGTTTCAGGTTTCTAGATTTTATGTTTATTATTATGTCATATACATTTTAGCTTTCTGCTCTTTTTATGTAGATATTCAAGTATTTAAGTTCATATAGTAATACATTTATTTCAATCCCCTGCTGAAAAAATAACAATAATAGAAACCATCAATAGAATTTGTAATGGTTTTACTGGTTCTAATGGAAATTGTAATGGACCCTGTTGGTCTCTGCTGATAATTGGTTGCTATTATTGTTGTTAAATATTATTATTGTTAAAACCACTAAATCCTAATGGAACATGTCCCAAAACACAATACAGGAAACCATTATTTAGTGGTTTTAATGATTAAAAGTTGATGGTTTGTAATGTTTGTAATGGTAGTGGAAACCATTAGAATTTCTGTGATGTTTCTATTGTCTTTTTCAGCAGGGTCACCATGGGTTTTGTGATGTTATTTGCCATAAATGCTATACATTGATTGCTGTAATATTGTGAGATAGTAGCTGAGGTTTGTAGTTGTGGTGGGCCTATTTGGGAGAAAATTCAGGGCCGTTTTTTACTCCCAGTCCATCCCTGGCTGCAGCCTATTTAGACGTAGCTGAACCAGCTAATCAGAGTCCTCAGGATGAATAGAAACTTCAGGCAGGTGTGTAAGGGTGGGTTGGAGCTAAACTCTGCAGGATGTTGGCCTTCCAGAACCATGATTAGACAATTCTGAGGTAGGAGCAAGAATAGGACATCTCAATTTGGCCTGTGCTTCCATTGATGCCATTGTGAACATTTGTTTTAGTGATGCTTGGTTGGGCAAAACTAATACTTTTAAGTGTTAGAATGAGATGCATAACTTATCCCAGTTGTGCTACAGACATAATCGATGCCTCAAACTGTGCAGCTGGTTCAGGAGAGGTACTCTGAATTGAATCTTCACTTTACAGAATAGGAAACATGGAAAAATTTTGAAAACAAAGCATCCTAAACCATTTTTAAGAACCAGGATAAATCGGTTCTATCATCATTTTAATGCAAAATGTGCAAAATTCGTTTGACAGAATTTTTTATTCTGTAATAAGATATGCATAAACTACTGGAATCAAATTTACCGGAAAAAAAAATCCTTGATGCGCTTTAAAATGTCATGTGACTGAATAATTTGTTAGAGATAACAGGGATGTCTAGTCCTGGTCTTGGAGGGCCAATGTCCTGCAGAGTTTAGCACCAACTGGAACCTTCCTGGAAGATTTTTGTAATCCTGAAGACCATGATTACCTTGGTTCATGTGTGTTTAATTGGGGTTGGAGCTAAACGGCAGGACAGTGGCCCTCCAGGACCAGGACTGGACACCCCTGAGAGGAGACAATATCAGCTGACCAATATCTTCGCATAGCATCTGAAATGTTCCTCTGGTCGTTCTGATATTAAGTATCCAAAGACTACCATGAAAATGATTCAGTACAATTTTTGTTCCCAATGGAACTGCTGCTGATTGCTTACAAACACAAGGTTCATAAAACATTTTGTGTGTGAGATCCAAGTTGCAACAAAATCATAAAAGATGATTATATTGAACAACTGAATCATTTACTTTGGAAGTATCTGGAAATGACTGTTCTGTTCTCTTGAGCCCATTGGATGGAAACGCTATTTTATCTGCAAATAGCTTTGCAAAACTCTTGTTCACTTAAATAAAATTCACAACTTTGGAGGAAACCTGTCCACTTGGGGCTTGAAGGTAGGATCTTTGACTTGATCCAAGTAACCACCTACGTAGAATACCTTAGCAACCACCAAGAACGACCTAGAAACCACAACAACTTACTCAGAACCACATAGCAACACCCTGGCAACATCCACACACCCCAGCATGGTGGTGGTGAGTTTTGTACATAAAACATAAAAACCTATTTAGTGATGCAGCTGTAAATCCAGTGACATTTCCAGCTAATATTTCATTAGTCATTTAGTTGATTCCTATGTGATAGAGGTGTGTGGGATGAGTGATGCAGGGGTTTATTTGCGCTTGTTACTAATGAGGAGTCTATTTCTTCTGTACAATCATGGTCTAGTTTCATAGTGACTCAAATGTGAGTTCACTGCTGGAGTCTTTCACACCACGCAAACACTGTTGATTTTCTCTTCCCTTATAAGACATTCACTAAAATAGCATTTGTCTCTGAAATTGTCTCCTGTTTTGTTTGGGTGTACAGGAAGCCAAAGATAGCCTTTGTAGCTTTCAGATGAGATTTCATGGAATGGAATGCGTTCGGGAGAATGAAGAAGTCTCCTTTCTCCTCAATCTGTACCTTGAGACCAAGCCGTGTTTATACAACAACTCGACAGACAAATGGCTTTACACAATTGAAACAGCCCCATTATGATTTGCTGCATTAATGACTCATGCATATTTTTAGATGTGTGTTTATGATAGAGATATGCTGTGATAAAACACTCTCTTTGGCTGTTGATGTTGGTCACATTTATTCTGCAAATAAGATTTTTCTTTTACTACTGATGATGACACTTTCAGATGTTGTTTTTGTTGGCACTGATCATCACTGTAGCAATATTTTTGTATATGAGATGCTATCAGTAACTGTTATTTTGCTGAAGGGAATCATTTCCTCTTGAACCTCTCTGAGAGGCAGGAACATGAGATGGGGTTTTATGATAGGACGAATGCCAGTGGGGGGAAACATGCATATATTTGCCACGCAAATCTCACACCGTGATCAAGTGGTTCCTATTCTTATACCACCAACCATAAAGTACCATGGGTGCCATGGTTTTGGGGTTTATTGGACACGTTAACATGGTTATAAACAGGAGAGGGCGTTACCTGCAGAGCTATTTTGGTGCGATTTGCTCGCTGCAGCTTTCTGATTGGTGGAATTTTCTATACAGCTTCATTCCACTGTTAAACATGATTATTTTGAAAATAAGTTGTAATAATGCAAAGAGTTGGCTTCAACAAAAGCATAAGTCATCGAATAATGACCTGGGACCTCACAATAGGTCTGTCTTTAAGATTTGTTATGTCATCAAGTTATCATTTCCCTATGGAGAAAATAAATTGCATTTTTACTTCTAGAAATCAACTGTTGCACTCTATTAGGTTTTTTCATGTTGCAGACAAAGATAAGGGTTTTCAGATTTTTTTTTCTTGGGCCTATAAAATATTTTAGAGCTTGACTTAACTAAAAAAATTTTTTAAATAAAAATACATATGGAGTTATAAGATTTTTTAATTTTACATGACATTTCCAGGTCTTGAAAACACTTTTAAAATTGGGCTACCTCATATCTTGGTTTTACTAGACAGTGGGAATCCTGGTTCTTCAAAGAAAATAAAAACATTGTTAAGGGGGTCAATTAAATATAAGTATCTAATATATATATAATAAGTATCTTGATGTTTTGTTGTTATGACTTATTTTAATGTATGTTTTGTCTTATTTTAAACCATTGTAAGTCATCGTGAGGCCTTCTTTGACGTTTTTCAGCCCCTCTGGTAGTGAGAATATAATGCTAAAATATGTATAATACAATTTAAACACAGCAATCCACATTTTAATTGAACATTTCTTTTACATTTATATTCAGTCACATCAAAAAAAATTCCATTAAAGGGGTCATATGATGCGACTTTAATTTTTCCTTTCTCTTTAGAGTCTTACAAGCTCTTGGTGCATAAAGAAGATCTGTAAAGTTGCAAAGACTAAAGTCTCAAATCCAAAGAGATATTCTTCATAAAAGTTATTCTTCATAAAAGTTAAGAGTCAACCACGCCCCCCTAAAACTGCTCGTTCTAACACACCCCCACATGTCTACGTCACTGTGTGGGAAGATTTGCATAATGCCGCCTAAATGTTCACGCAAAGAAAGAAGGCGTAACTTTTATTCTTGCTGTAGTATTGTTGTTGCCGCCGCCATGTCGTGAAGACGCTGTGTCATCACATGTGGTTGCCGCAAGCCCGTCAGACGCTCCTTCGTTCGAATCCGCTGCCTCTGCTCACTTTTGCCGCCGTGTGTTACGCTGTGTTTCGTTGTGAAAGCGAAACTACTTTGTTTGGCCTTCCAAAAATGGACACGACTAGAAATCAGTGGTTAAGTTGTATTTACAACACTGTTCCAGAACACTTCAACCCAAATATTAAGATGTGTGCAGCGCATTTTATGGAGGACCGTTTCCTGATCCTGGTAGAGTAGACTACAATGATGTCATACTGTTAGTACGTTTTTTATATTTAAAGAGTTTTTATATTTTATATATTTAAAGCGAGGTTTTTGAGCAGTGTAGAGTAGGGCTTGTTGTTTGTCATTTCTCCGATCACAAATGCAGACATGGTTTTATGTTTACACGGCGCGATGCGATGATGTATAAGTCATTATAATCCATAATTATGTCCCCACTGGATGCAACGAATACCTCGTTTATAATGGGTTTTCATGTTTTTGAATCATCGCTCTGGCCTGACAGGGCATCACAATATGGTAAGGAGCGTAACATTTCCGTCACACGTTTGAGGTATTCGGCCAATCACAATGCATTGGATAGCTGACCAATCACAGCACATCCCGCTTTTTTAGAACGATGAGCTTTGTAAAATCGGCGCGTTTCAGAAAGGCGGGGCATAGAGGAGAAACAATAATCTACAGTATGTGGAAAATAATGTGTTTTTTTAACCTTAAACTTTAAACCGCATAAACACATTTCATTACACCAAATACACAAAATAACGTTCTTTTTAGCAACATCATATGACCCCTTTAAAATCCTGTTAATGGCTTAAGATTTTAGAGCTGAATCATTGTCAGAAGGGTCAAATGTCACCCAATTAATCAGTCTTTCACTATTCTCATTGTATTTGTTGCAGTGCCTTGGAGTTCAGTAGCACGTATTTGAATATGGTAATTGTTCAGTACCATGATATTTCCTTCAGAGGTACCATGGCACTGGCAAAAACTGTACTGTTTTGTGACTGTATAATCTTGTTTCCTCATACATGTATGTGTTGTGTTGTGTGTCTGTACAGGACCAAGAGGACCCAACTGCTATATGTCAGTTTACACGCTCACGGGCTGAGCAAACTTCACTAAAGAGAGCTTATAGTTTTGTGACAGAGTCTGTCACTGATTTTATCTTTCCTCACACACGCTCTCGACCCCCGCTCATCCCTGCCATGCCCACCCTTCCTGAGGAAGAGGAAGACTCTCCAGAGGAGCTCAACAGTACATCCAGCTCGCCCTCCACAGTGAGTCAAACTACATCCTTCTTCAAATAACTCTCTTCGCTTTCAAACACATGCACTAAACATATGATCCCTTAAAGATGTTGATCTGAGGAGGAAGAAAGTGAGTGTAATCTTTACAGGGAGAGACAACATTCCTCTCTCAATCAGATAGTGTCTGTACCCTAATGCCACAGAATGGGAATTTGAAATCTTACTGGATTTATAATGTCATGCTGCACAGTTAGGGCATTTTTGCATGTTGGAGTTGTTTTTCATTCTTTGCTTAACGGTACAAGGGTAGAACGAGCAGACTTTTCGGGTAGTTCGCTTTGGCGAGTGGTTTTAAACTCCCAAAACGAACTCCAAACGAATTTGGTTTTGGCCTGATTTTGTTTGAAACGACATCACACCAGTTTGTTCTTCGATTTCACTTGAAGTATAGTAGGCTCTTTCCAAATGCCTCTCTGTCATGGCCCGTGAGTGAGAAGAACTATCGCTCCACTGAGGACAAGCTTCAGGATTTACTGTTCTGTTTTCCTTTTAGAGACCACAGACCGTTTGAACATCAAAGCCTGTCAGGGGTTGTTGTTTCATTCTAGCCATTATGTTATTCTTGAGTGAGTACAATCCACTCATGCAGTGACTCATAAAAGGTTGGGACTCAGATAAGAGCACTCTTTAAAATCATATTACACTTCAGTAATCTAATCCCAGAATAAAGGCCAAACAAATAAAGCTTCCACTTTGTACTGAACAGCAGCAAGGACTTTAGCGCTGCGTGATAGTTCTTGGGTATAAAAGTATGATCGCACTTGATGTTGCATGCCATGTTGTGAATCTCTGTCAGTGAGCACTTGATGATATTCGAAGAGGTTTTTTTCTCCCTGAGAATGAAACATTTTTATAATATAGTGATTCTGTAACTATAGAAAGAGATATATATATATATATACACACACACACACATATGTGTTTATGTATATATATATATATATATATATACATATATACACATGTGTGTGTGTGTGTGTGTGTGTATATATATATATATATACATACACTTGTCATGCACGTATGTGTGTGTGTGTATATAATATGTATACCATTGATAAAACATCTAAAGTCTTTACATAGATTAATTATAAATCAGTAGTTACAAAATCGTGCGATAATGAAAACAGATAAAATAAAGAAAAGCACAACAGTGGACTATTGCAAAGACTAATATTTTACTTCCTCTCCTAAAGTGATTGTTATCTGAGCATGTTGTTTTTCCCATGGGATAGTGTTTTGAGCTGGCATGTTTGAAATTGTTTGTGCGGGGGCTAAAAAAAGTGGACCTGCTGCACAGTACAGTTGGGAAATTTCCTATACTGCCTCAGGACTGAATGCTGAAAAAATCATCACATTTCACTGTTTGCTTTTAATTGCTCTTCTTTGCCTCTGCACTACAATACAAAAATCATCATTGATCTTGTTTTCTGGTCAAAATATCTACTTAAATAAGCAAGATAGGCTGCATACAATCTTAAAGGGGTCATATGATGCTGCTAAAAAGAACATTATTTTGTGTATTTGGTGTAATGAAATGTGTTTATGCGGATTAAGGTTCAAAAAACACATTATTTTCCACATACTGTACATTATTGTTTCTGCTCTATGCCCTGCCTTTCTCAAATGCTTCGATTTTTACAAAGCTCATCGGTCTGAAAAAGCGAGGTGTGCTCTGATTGGCCAGCTATCCAGTGCATTGTGATTGGCCAAATTCCTCAAGCGTGTGACGGAAATGTTACATCCCTTACCATATTGTGATGCCTGCGGCAACCACATGTGACGACCCCGGGCTGGACTCCGCTTCATCCACGGTGAAAGCCGATCCGGCGATCCACAGCGCGAAGTTGAAGTATTTCCTCAGCGACCAGCACCGATCAGCTCCAGGCATGACGAAGCAGATATCATCCTCTTTTGGAAAACCAAACAAAGTAGTTTCGCTTTCACAACGAAGCACACAATGCCTTCAAGACACGGCGGCGGCGTCAACAATACTACAGCCAGAATAAAAGTTACGCCTTCTTTCTTTGCATGAACATTTGGGCGGTGTTATGCAAATCTTCCCACATAGTGATGTAGACATGTGGGGGCGTGTTAGAACGAGCCGTTTTAGGTAGGCGTGGCTGACTCTTAACTTTTATGAAGAATATCTCTTTGGATTTGAGACTTTAGTCTTTGCAACTTTACAGATCTTCTTTATGCACCAAGAGCTTGTAACACTCCAAAGAGAAAGGAAAAATTGAAATCGCATCATATGACCCCTTTAAGACTTGTTTTCAGAATATATCAATTTAATTAAATTTTAAAAAAATTTACAGTGTTGGCATTTTTTCAAGCAGAAATCTACTAATATTTAGCTAGATTAATGGTTAAAACGATAACAAACACATAATAAGGTTAAAAAAAAGGGATTTCAAAATATACTCTCTGAATATCAAGATGCATTCATATTTAAATTTTAAAATAGGCAGAAACAATTAAATATCAACTCCTAAAAGTATCCAATATTGACCTCTACTTATAAATTAAAAAACACTTGATATCGACCAGTAACCCATATAGTGCTGTTATGTCATGTATCTGTCCTATTGTCTGACACAAAAATAGCTTCTCCTAAATTTATTTTGCTCTAAGAATTAGTTTTTTGTTGCAGGGTGTGTGTTTCTTAAAGGAATAGTTCCCCCAAAAACCAAAACAGTTGCTGGTAGCCATTGACTTCCATACGATTGGAAAATATTTAGAACTCTGCAAAGTAAAAGTGTCCGTTTTAAAAATGTAAGACCCACAGCCTTACTGCTCTCCAAGAATGTGACCAAAAACATTACATCCAGCCAGAGAAGCATCCTTGTGTGTGTTTTTTTTTTTTTTTTTGCAGTACGCTCCAGTTGAAAGCATGATGGTAAGTGTAACCATGACTCCGCCAGCTATTGTGCTTCCAAGACAAGTCAGCAAGCAAGAGCCCTGTCCTCTGGAGAAAGCAAGGTATTGATGTCAAGACCCATTAAATGATTCCCAAAAAATCTTTATTTACCAATCTTTAAACAGCAGTTTTAGTTATTCAAGGAGTGTAAAAGCTCATAAAGAGTCACCGTTTGTACTTGCGCTGAATAGAAAGTTGCTCAGTTATGTTGAGAATGTGTTGCTATGATGCTTGTTTTTAATCTGTGTGTCAGATCACACAGCCCTAGGCCTCGTCTCTCCCGAAACTCTGCATCTTCATGTCCCATCACCACAGTGGGTATGTTCAACTACACACTCCAGCTGCTTAGATACTGATGTTTATCTAGTATTTAGAGACATTTGTTTTCAAATGGCATAGAATAAGATAAAAATCATGTAACTTTATGTGTTTAAATTTGGTTAAAGCATTAAAGTATTGCGTTATGGAAGGCTGCAGTTGGGAAAGCTTAAAATACCATTGTTGTTTTCACTTTGATTTCTGTTTACTTTCTTCCTCCTTTGAGATGAGTTGGCAGGTTGGTGTGTGTTACAGCTGTGTTAAGGTTGTGTGTGTGTGTGTGTGTATTTGTGTTTGAGATGATGATGGGCACGTGATAGACCTGGTGAAGGATCAGCTTCCTGAGCTGCAGTTATCTGAAGAGGATCGTCAGAAGAATTTGGAGCTGCTCGAGGAGGCCAAGAAAGTCAGCGATCGCTTCCTGCAGCGCAGAGGCCGACGCTCCACCTGTAGTCTCAGTGAATCTCCACCAGGTAGATTTTTAGAAACATGATTACTTTCCCATTAAGGACAATGGATCTCAACCAGAGTGCCTTAGCAAAGGGGGCTCTACAGGGCATTTTTAAAAAAACGTACGTTTAAGTAGTGCTGGGTGGTATGACCAAAAATGTATATCACGGTATTTTTCAAAATTATACCGGCTTAGTAACGCATACAGCTGTTCCCTCACCACAGTGCAACAGTGAAAAGGGACCCCTTTCAAACAGTGTCGCGTTCCGAACATTGTTTAAGCGACATACACCGACATACACATTGTTACACATACACATACACATGCACAAATACCGTATTGCGGTATTTTAAAAATTCATATCATAACAAAAATAAACACTGGTATTCGGTATGAACCGGTATACCGCCCAGCACTAGGTTTAAGCATAAAACACTTTAACAAACAGTTCATTTATTTATATATTTAAATTAATACAAATTCATGTATTAAAATAATCTAACTTAATTATAATGCTTAAAATATAATGAAACATTTTAAACTGCAATCATTTTTTTCCCCTTAAGAACTCGAACTGTTTTTATTGAACATATACTGTAGTTCTTGAAATGTAGGGAGGCTTAAAAGGAAACTTGAACAAATTTGAACGTAAATTTAATTTAAAAATCATTTAAAATTAAAAAATATATTTATTTGATTAAATTAATACAATCTCATGTATGGAAGTTAATTAGATTTCTTAATGATGAAAAAAATGTAATGTAAAAATTAATTAAAAGTAAATTTTTCCTAATAGTTCACTTCCTGAAACTTCTGGAATCACAAAATTAATTGTGGTCGGTTCATTTAATACATCTCCCAGTTTATTTTAATAAAAATGTTAGGTAACACTTTATTTTGATAGTCCGCTTCAGACATTCTACTAAGAGTAAGTAACTTTGCAACTACATGTCAACTAGCAGTCATTAGAGTATTAGTAGACTGCCTGCTTAATATCTGCTAACACTTTATTTTGATGGCTCCACAACATACAACACACTGACTATGAGAAACCTATTCTACAAACCCTAAACCTAACCTAACAGTCTACTCTGAGAGTTAGTAGACATGTCGTTGCAAATTAATGAGAATTAGCTGACATGTAGTTGCAAGGTTACTTATAATTAGTATTATGTCTAAAGTGGACTATCAAAATAAAGTGTAACCAAATGTTACAGATTTAAAAAAACAAAAAAACAAGAAGCTTTGTCTTACATTACAGCTAAATTATAAGAAATATTTTAGCCTTTTTTGGGGAGACTTCTTCATCTTTGAGTGAAACAGGTTGAGAACCATTGATGTACCGCTGAATTTGTATAACACGTCTTATGTCGCTTGGGTATATTTGTAGCAATAGCCAAAAAAACATTGTATGGGTCAAAATTGCAGATTTTTCTTTTATGCCAAAAATCATTAGGATATTAAATAAAGATCATGTTCCATGAAGATATTTTGTCAATTTCCTACCGTAAAAATATATCAAAACTTAATTTTTGATTAGTAATATGCATTGCTAAGAACTTCATTTGGACAACTTTAAAGGTGATTTTCTCAATATTTAGATTTTTTTTGCACCCTCAGATTCCAAATTTTCAAATAGTTGAATCTCGGCCAAATATTGTCCTATCATAACAAACAATACATCAGTGGAAAGCTTATTTATTCACAAATTTACCCTTATGACTGGTTTTGTGGTCCAGGGTCACATATGTGAAAGTTACAGGGCTTATAAGCTTTGCATGATCTTGACAGGAATTTAAAGATTGTCTCAATGTAACATTGTTTAAGTCTTGTTCTGTAGCTCTCTATTTTTTATCGTTTATCCCAGTCAGACTTCCATTGTAAGTGCTGTACTGTAAACAAAATAAACCATTTTTTCTCTAAATTATTGTCTGTGGTAACTCACAGCATGTCACATTTTGTTAACTATCTTTCCAATCATGTTAATAATGAAGAAGAACTTCTTTCAAGTGGCAAATGCTATTGTTTCTGTTGCGATCTTGAAATGTTTATTTCAGAAGCAGCTTGCTTATTTTTAGCCTTTGCGACTTCCTTTCTTATCGGACTGTACCATCATGTACATGTCCGCATGTCCTCAAATGACCTGTGCACCAGTCAAATCCTCCTTTATCCTGCACACCAGCTTCAGCTTACTGACTTGAGTATATCCACAGGCCGATGAGAGATAAAACAAAGTGATATCCTAACTTTGAAACCATGATAGTCAGTGTGTGTCCAAAAAATGGGTAACAGTGTCTTTGGGTTACAGCTCTCTCCCCGAACCCAACACCATGCTCCTCCCCCCGACCATCCAGAAGCAGTTCCCTCTCCTCACCCTCACAGCTAGGTACCATGCTGTGCTTTCAGTCACATTTGCCTGCAGAGATCCCTGCCGTGGTTGACCTAAGCTAAATGGATTTGTTTCTCCACCAGGTCCTGAGGTCACCACAACTCCTCCAGCAAGTCCCTCCATAGCTAAGGTGAGCGCCACTTCTGATTCCCTTCTGTATAGTGTTGATGTTGTGTCCTCCTGATGCTGATAAATATTGGATTGTTTGTGTATGTGTTTAGCATCTGGAGGTACCATCTACTCATGACCAAGGGGACACGAGTAAGCCAGAACAGGAGGTTTGTGTAACAAATGTTATATCTTCTGCTCTTCTCGCTGCAATCTTCCTTCTTCAGTGTTTCAGATTTTAAAACACAATCAGATGTGTGTGAATTTTATGTTAAAGTGGCCATATTATTATTTTTACTTGTTTTTTTTTGCACCAAAAACAATCAAACTGTAGTTGATCTTCATTTTTATTCTCATGTTTAGACTGTTGGACCGAAATGATCAAGTCTTTTGTGAAAAGTACACTTTAGAAGAAAAAAAAAGTATTTATATTTATTTTTATGGAAATTATGTACTTTTAAAGAATATACCTAAGTTTGAAGTGAATGTAATGTTTTCAGACACTTACATATATGTTAATTGCAATTAAATGGAAATGTATTATAGTTCAAATTTATATTTGATAGCTGATTCATTTAATATAAATTTAGAGTGCTTTTTCGACCCACTTAAGTAGGACTTGAGTACATATTTGTATTTAATTTCATAATTATTTGTATTGTCTTTTTTTGCGATTAATCACGATTAAGCTATTTGACACACACACACACATATATATATATATATATATA